AGGTTCTGTGAGAAAACTGTTAGCTATGTTTAGGTACTGCTTGAGGGTGAGGTGTGAATCAGGATGCCCCCCTCTCTGTACTCAGCAGCCTTTCCTCCCTGGGGGGAAAGACTGTCATTCTCAGCCCCGCTGGGAGCTGACTCTTCCCTGGGAGCAGCCTCAGCCCATATCTTATCTGTTGCCATTCCTCATGAAGCTGCCAGTGTTTTGCATTCAGCAGCGTGTGCAGTGACAGGGTGAGGAACAGAAATCCCATCATTATTACTATTTCTCTCCTCTATTTCTGTTCTGTTTTTTCAACTCTTTCGCAGTATAAGTATGTGGGAGCTTTTGACTTGCTAGGTTTCAGGGCTTCTGTAATCCTGTATTTAGAAATTGCATTTGGCAAGGGCAAAAAGGCTACCTGCAGAGTGAGCTAGTTTCCTTGCTCTCCTTTGTGTCATGCAGAATTGTTCTTCCCAAATACAGACGATCTGGTGGTCTTGTACCTAATAAATATGTGCAATTCTATTCTAGATTTGCAGAACCCACTTTCTTGGGTCCCCATGAACTTATGGTCAGAAAAAAGTTACATCAATGTATGACTACAGCCATATGCTTTTCTCATATGAAATTTGACCATGGAATGAAGACCATCCTCATCTACCATGCATTTGAATAAGCACTGAATTTACTGATGAGTTTGGAGTATCTCCTATTCGGGATCTAGGCCCAAATCACATATGCCCAAATCTTAAAATACTACTGTCCGAGCTAGCTATGTCTCTCTTTTTACTTTCGGACTACTTTTCCCATAGCAACTTCAGTTCCTTCACAGTCCATTAAACCTGGCTTTCCTCCTTATTCTCTCTGAAGTGATCAGATTTTATGGTTTTTTTTTTTTGTTTGTTTGTCTGTTTTTTTTTTAATATTGCTATGTCATGACTGTGTCTGGTTGCTACTACCTCACAATAGGACAGGGTTGCCAGTTGGTAGTGGTTAAAGTAAAATACTTTGCATAAAAAAAAATTATATTACTTGAGATTCTTGGCAAAAAGATAAAGACAGAAGTTTACATTAAAAATCCAAAGTAGAAAGCTCTTTCCCATGTATCTTGTCAGTCTTGATATATAGAATTTTAGATTCTGAACACATATGAAGGAGATAGGAAGTTGTCCTGGTTTCAGCTGGGATAGAGTTAATTTTCTTCCTAGTAGCAGGCATAGTGCTGTGTTTTCGATTTGGTATGAGAATAATGTTGATAACACACTGATGGTTTAGTTGTTGCTAAGTACTGCTTATGCTAGTCAAGGACTTTTCAGCTTCCCATGCTCTGCCAGGTGCACAAGAAACTGGGAGGGGGCACAGCCAGGGTAGTTGATCCAAACCGGCCGAATTTTCATACCATTCCGAATATTCCATACCATATGATGTCATGCTCAGTATATAAACTGGGTGGAGTTGGCCGTGGGACAGCAATCGCTGCTCGGGAACTGTCTGGGTATCAGTTGGTGGGTGGTGAGCAATTGCATTGTGCACGACTTGCTTTGTATATTATTATTACTGTTATTATTATATTGTTATTATTACTACTGTTATTTTACTTTCTCTTATTTGAATTATTAAACTGTTCTTATCTCAACCTTGGAGTGTTTCTCACTCTTACTCCTCCGAATCTCTCCCCCATCCCACCGGGGCAGGGGGAGTAAGTGAGCGGCTGAGTGGTGCTTAGTTGCTGGCTGGGATTAAACCATGACAGAAGCGTCCCTCATGTTCCCTATGTATTTGCCATTCTAAGAATAGAATTTGTACACAGAACGTAGAAATTTCAGGTAATCACAAATGGACAGGATAACAGACATCAGAAGTAACATGTAAGACAGTAAGAAACAGTCTCATTCAGGTGGATGCACAGGGCGACAGGTACCTCGAACTGGTGCAGGTTCTGGCTTTTTTGGCACAGTTACAGGTATGGACTCTTCCAGGACACCTTTCTTGGGCACCTTGGGCACTTCAAAGATATTAGTATATTTTAGTTTTGTGGGCACTACAGATGCATATGAAACAATAAGACAATCGATGATACATGCATGCAGTCTTCTTTGAGAAACTGCTGTGGTTGCATTCAGTCATCAGGTTATGCTTTGCTGCAAACACGTGGAATGACCAGGGTGTCAAATATGTCACGCAGGAGATGGGAATTCTATGTTTAGTTTCTGTTTCTGGGTCAAGGTGGAAATGTAGAGAACATATGCTCTCTTTGTAACAGCTAATCAGAGACTTATTAATGGAATCCTACTGTATTTGACTATCAGTCATGTATCACTCATGACTGTGTGTTCTGTGCTGGTTTTGGCAGTCACTGTCATCTTTTTACATGTCACTTGGATATTGTTGCTATTTTTATCCTTCAAGTTGACTTCACCTTTCTTTTTCTGTCTTTGTATGTTTCCTCTCTTTTTTTGCTTCACACATACTTTCGTGTAACATCTCTGGCTTCCATTCTGATCACTAGATGCTGCTTATAACTGTTTCCTGTTATATTCATTTAAATTAATTAAATGCTTTAAATACCATCACTGTTAGGTGGTACTTCACTTGAAGAATGTAATTTTATTTCAGATGGAGAGAACCTGGTGGCAGAGGGAATGTTTACTTCTCTGGCCAATTCTTGCGACTTTCTAAAGGAAATGAAATGATGCAGCAGGGCATCAATCTATGATGTGTACAGTTTTAGAGTATCTTAAGTAATTTTTTAGTATTTTGATTATAAAGTCTCTCATCCTGATTAATCTGAGAAAATAAATGCCTCTTACAAGGCTCAGTGAATTAAGTGTTCACAGGAACTTTACAGCTCTTTGGTGCTATTCATACAGTGTAACAACTTTGCAAATCACAGGGTGGACAATGTTGACATATGACGAAAACACAGGCAAATTATAATTAACAGTTTAAAGAAAAGATTCTGCTCCATGATGCTACCCATGGCAACACAGGTACATAGAAATATTTGCAATTATTTTGCTCTATGTACAGAAACTGCGACTCTTTGCTGAAACCTTCAGTTTCTGCTTACTTTGTCCTTTCTCATGGAATCATAGAATCATTTAGGTTGGAAAAGACCTTTAAGATTGAGTCCAACCGTAAACCTAACACTGCCAAGTCCCATTAAACCATGTACTAAACCATCCCTACTAATAATGTGAACAACAGTTTATGCATTCATTCTTTTGTTAGCATCCATAAAGTTTTGGCATTTTTGGTAGAGAGTTCATCATATCTGCTCGATCTATTGCTATAGCCTAAGAAATCAAATCTTACCTCCTGAACTTTTTGAATATGCCAAAAAAAGGGTACAACAAAAGTTTGGATGGTTTTAGTTGAGGAAATGTTTGACATCCCTGCACAGCAATTCATATTTTTTACATCTCTCTCACATTTTAGATATCAGAGTATACAGCGAAAGCTCAATTTAAAATGAGATTCATTTAAAAAAACCCACCCTTCCTTATGTTGATAATCATGGTGGCATGTACCTTTAGCAAGTGGAGCTCCTGGTTTTTTAGGTACAGCAATGGGCACTTTCTCCTCTGGGACAGGCTTCTCAGGCATCTCAGGCACTTCAAAGATATTAGTGCATTTCATTTTACAGTTACAATACAACTGAACATAAGTACAGAGAGTGAAACACAAAGGACAATAGCAATGTTCTGAAGTAACAATTTGGCACGCACTCATACTCAGTGTATGCACACACTCATACATCAATTAAAACCTCAGATTTGAAATGACAGAACAAAAGAGGTTAAGATAATATTTAAGAGAAGAAGATTAGGTGTGTTTATCATGTATTCATGATAACATGTACTTCTGGCTGATGGAGCTTCTGATTTTTCAGGAACAGCTACAGGAATTTTCTCTTCTGGGACAGCCTTTTTGGGCATTTCAGGCTCTTTAAAGATATTAGTATCTATTAGTTACATGTATTAAGCTTTAAAACAAACAGTGAAACATAGTATACTCAAGAGAAGGAAAAGAGATCCTAGTCATAAGAGGTACCTTTAGACCGTGGAGCTGCTTGTTTTTTAGGTATGGCAACACTCTCTTGCTTTTCGGCCAGCTTGGCTGGTGATGGTTCCTCAGGTGCCAAAACAGGCTCTGGTTCTTCAGATGCCACTTCAGGCTTTGGTTTTTGAAGTGCCATAGAAATCTCTAGTTTTTGGGGTGCTAAAATTGGTTCTGGTTCCTCAGGCACTGTGACAGGTTCTGGCTTGCAGGGTGCCACAACAGGCTTTGATTTTCTGGACACTGCAATAGGCATTGATTTCTGGAAATCTGCAACAAACTCTGTTTCTTCAGGTGCTACAAGCAGCTCTGTTTTTTGGGGTGGCACAAAAGGTTTTGTTTTGGGGGGCACCACAACACGCTCTGATTTTTGGGTTGATGCAACTGTCTCTGACTCCTCAGGTACCACAACAACCTCTGGTTTCTCAGGCTCCACAACACGCTCTGATTTTTGGGTTGATGCAACTGTCTCTGACTCCTCAGGTACCACAATGAGCTCAGGTTCCTCAGGGGCCATGAATGGCTCTGGTTTTTGGGGTTCCACAATAGGCTTTTGTTTTGAGGGCATAACACCATGCTTTAGCTTTTGGGGTGGCAAATCAAGCTTGGGTTCCTCAGGTACCACAACAAACTCTGGTTTCTCAGGCACCACAACACGCTCTGGTTTTTGGGTTTCAACAACAGGCTTTTGTTTTGGGGGCATCACACCATGCTTTAGTTTTTGGGATGCCACATCAGGCTTGGGTTCCTCAGGTGCCACAACAAGCTCTGGTTTCTCAGGCACCACAACACACTCTGGTTTTTGGGATGCCACAACAGATTCTGGTTTTTGGGGTGCCAAAACAGTCTTGGGCTCCTCAGTTGCCACAACATGCTCTAGTTTTTGGGGTGCCACAACAGGCTTTTGTTTTCGTGCGACTCTAGCAGGTTCCGGTTCTTGAGGTTCTACTTCTTGAGGCTTTGCTTTTGGGGGTCCTGCAATGGGCTTTGGTTTTTGGGAAACTGGAGCAGGTACTTTCTTTTCTGGGAAAGTTGTCTTGGCCGCTTCACGTACATAAAAGATGTTAGTTCTAAATTTAACAACTGCACAGACAATCATACCAAATTTGAATTAATCATAAAACATAAAACCACAATTGTAATGAAAACATTAAAAAAAATCAGGTATCAATCATTTATGCTGGCCTTTTTAAGGATGAATATACCACATTTTGGCTTTTCTCCCTTTTCCCTCAAACATACACCACCCCACCCCAACCCCCTGCCCCAAGCCTCATGCCACCATATGCAAGTGCACATGTGTACTAATAGTATAACTTAAGCTATAAGTAAAATCCATGATAATTATAAACAGAATGGACAGGACAAAAGATATTAATAACATTGCAGGTAATAAGCTGAAGACTCTTTCAAGAATTAGCAGTGATGGCATCTCTTTTTTTCTTGGTGCTTTGGTAGCTGGAGCTTCTGGTAATTTCAATTACATTGATATCTTCTGCTCTTAGCTACTAGAATGGGTACTTTCATTTCTTCTACTATTATCACTTCAAAGATATTAGTTGTGGTTGTTCTCATGAACCCAAGCAGATAGAATAGTAAGAATAATCCAAAATAATAAGAAAATGTGAAGTATAAAATACAGGCTATTCAGACAACCAAGATTTGTCACTATTCTTCAAAAAGACCCACGTGTGTCTGTTTCACACACATATGCAGGTACATAGAACAAGCATAATTTAGAATCTCAGAAAACAGAAGGCCTGGAAAATCAGAGTGTTAAAGAAAAGTGGGAAAATGTTGCTTTTGTTATTTTATTAGTGTTGAGATTTACCTTTCTCTGGTAGAGGTTCTGATTCCTCAGGTGCAGCCTCTGGTTCTGGGACAACCACAGGTTCTGGTTCTTCAGGCACAACCTCAGGTTCTGGTATTTTAGCCACAGGTATTTTCTTTTCTGGAACAACTTTCTTCACCACCTCAGGTTCTTTAAAGATATTTATTTGTTTTACTTTCAGGAATTTGAAGAATGGGAATTAAAAAAGTGACAATAGCTCCAAGGTGAAAATTATCAAACAGCATCAGGAAAAAAAAAAAAACCCTTATAAATAGTCTGTGGGTTTTTTTCATCTTGCTTGATGCACACCATTAATAGCCATTGTTGCTTACTGGGAGCTATTTACAAGTGAAGAAGAAAACACAATCTGTAACATTTATAAATATTAGAATATAAAAAAAGAGGATAATGCAAACTTAAAAAAGACAATATTTAGATAAACAGATTAAAATATTGGTGCAATTTTATCAGTATTGAACATGTACCTTTAGGTGGCGGACGTTCTGGTTTTTTAGGAACTTCAATGTGTACTTTTTCTTCTGAAACCACTTTCTTGGGCACTTCAGGCACTTTAAAGAAAGTAATGAAATTTATTTGTATGCAATCCAAACACGTCTGCAGCATTAAGACACTAAGAAAAAGTAAAACTCAGGGATTCTATGATTCTATGACATCAAAGCATCAGTGGTTTTGGATGTGAATATCAACTTTTTCCTTTGCCTACAGAAAATTCTCTCCGATGTCTCACTGAGGTACAGATGCAAAAACTACAATTTAAACATTTATAGTAAGAGTAGATTACCAATATGTTAAAATGGTACCCTAGACAATGGAGGGGTTTTCTTTCCTTAATTGTGTACAGCAATTACCTTTAGTTGGTGGAGGTTCTGGTTTCTTTGGCACTTTAACTGAAACCTCTTCTGGGACCACTTTCTTTGGTACCTCAGGCACTTGAAAAATATTAATAACTTTTACTATAAGAATTTAATAAACAACATTAAATCATAACAGCAGAACAGCATAAGTGAGAACACTAATTACCAGGATTTATTTTTTTCACACAACACATTTGTTCACTTGAAAAACCTTTGACAACAGAAGAAAATTGTAACAGAGATCTTGGGTACCGTCTTCTATAGTGTTAAAACAATAAAAGAGCAATGGTTTTGATTGTGTTAATTTTGTCAAAATGACAAGTACCTTTAGCTGGTGGAACTGCTGGTTTTTTAGGCTCCGCAACTGGTATTTTCTCATCTGGGACTTTCTTGGGCACTTCTGGCACTTTAAAATTGATAATTACGTTAATACTAAGAATTTAAAGAAATTTAAATGGCATTAAAGTGGAAAAAGAAACAAACAAAAGGAAACCAGATAACATCAATTAAACATAATATTCTTTACCAAATGGGCTTTTTGCTCTCAATCTTGATTGAGAGTCATTTGAGAAAAGAGGCTGTTCCCAAAAATGAAATACAAAAATCACAGTTTATAAGATAGAAAGATGGGGAAATAGTATCAAACAGGTCTTATCAGTGAAAACAAGACAAATTATTGCCATGGTTTTATTAATGACAAGTACCTGTAACTCGTGGTACTTCTGGCTTTTTAGGCACAGCAACTTTGATTTTCTCTTCTACAACTACTTCCTTGGGTGCTTCAGGCACTTTAAGAAAAGAGATTATTTTCAGTTACTATATGGAATTTTACAGCTATGTTCAAAAATTTTCAGTAGAAATTTCAAAGTAGGGAGGTTTTTAATGGAGCCATTGATTTGAAATGTTTATTGACCTAAGGTTTGTTTTTGTCCCTGTAAAGTTTGAGGAAAAACCTCAGAGTCCTTTGGAGTTTCTTCTACATTACATTATTTTTCCATTTTATTCAACCACCTCCCAAATCTCCATTTCACTAAGGCTGCCATTGTCCATTCTGTATTCCTTGTCACATTCTTCTATGTATGATGACTTCTTGGTATCAGTTTTTCATCTATGCACAGAGGGTTTTCTCCTGTGTTAGAAATCTGTATCACTTATTCTATACTTCAAAATTATTAAACTCTCTTTTGGGGCTAATTTTTTGCTGTCTGTCAGGATTATTTCAGATCACAGAAGCTCTGTTTTCTCTTTCAGATTTCTGCTGTGGTCCTCAAGTATCAGTCTCATCTCTGCCCAGCCACATCAGTATTTCTGACATAGTGGTACACTGATTACAGTTATGATTCAAAAAGAAGAATTTTCAAAACAGTAGCATATATAGAACTGTGAGCACAGAAAATGAAGGTAATAGGACAACACAAACAATCAAAAAACCTAATCTGCATGATCAAGGCAGAGGTTTTTTTTTCTTTACCAAATTTTAGTTATCTGTAGTGCAACATACCTTTGGCTGGTGGTGGTTCCGGTTTTCTAGGCACAGCAATGGGTACTTTCTCTTCTGGAATTTTCTTGGGCACCTCTGGCACTTTAAAGAAAACAGCATTCATTTTTGTTATATTTAATAGGTCATTTAAAATACGTAAATTATTAAGAAGAGTCTCACAAGAAGCATATCGGAAAGAAACGTAAGATCAGATATAAAAAAAAGGTATGTTATGCGAAGAATGTTGTATACTATTACATAGTACCAGGATTTTTAAATATGAGAAATAAAGGGTAATTTTTTCTTTTACTCTAAACCATACTGCCCAAGAGAAAGAGAAATCTCCTCCTCAGAGAGTCACTATTATTGACACACGAGCTTTAGTTAGTGTTACTCTCTGCTTTTTAGGCGCACAGCAACATTTACTTTCTCTTCTGACACAGATTTCTTTGGTACCTTGGATACTTTGAAGATATTAGTGTACTTTTAAGAATTACAAAAATAAAACATGCAATACAGAGAAATAAGAGAAAACAAGAAGATGTATAAGGATACTCTGACAACAGTTACATGTTCTGAAAAGTGTCTGTGGTTCTATCCCTCTGGCAAATAACACTTTGAAGCGACTTTGCTGGGGATCTTTTGTCATGCAGTGGTGACATGCCACACAAACTGCTAGTTCAGACAGACTTCTAAAATATCTGAATGAATTGTAACAACTAATGCTATTTCCATCCAAAATTAAATCAATTGACCCCTAAGTTTAACATGAGCAATGTGAAAGTGGAAGTGTATGTACTTCTTGCTTGAGTATTGATAGAATTTCTGAGGCTGTTTATGGTACCTATAAATGCCCATGAAGTGAAAATATTTGTTCTGTAAATCTCACTGTGTGTTGACTCAGCTAGAGTTTTCCTTATTTTTAGTCCCTTTGACTAGTTTCTGATACAATTTCTGTGCCATCACAATGGATTGCTCTTGGGTAGAAGAGATAGACAAACTCAACTAATTTTCATGATTTAACAAAAACAAAACAAGGAACAGAAGAAACCTGAAGAAAAAGGAGAAGGAAAGGATATGTTGACCTATACCTTTGGCTGGTGGAGCTTCTGGCTTTTTAGGCAAAGGGACAGGCTTCTCTTCAGGAATAGTTATCTTGGGCAATTCAGGCACTTGAAAGATATTTACTGATTTTAATTTTATGACTTAAAGACAAGTTGAGAAACACGAAACAGGACATATACAACATAAATGCCACAAATCTGACACAAGTGGACCATGAACTATTATATCAGAAACAATGTAAGAAACAGAAAGGTGTTATCAGCAAAAGACCTCAGTTCTATTAGGCTATCAAGGTACCTTTAGATGGTGGAGATTCTGGTCTTTTAGGCACAGGAGCAGCTTCTGGTTTTTTAGGCACAGCAATAGGCACTTTTTCTTCTGGAACAGTTTTCTTAACAACTGTGGGCACTTTAAAGATATTAGTACATTTTAAGAATTTATATAGAATAGAAAGACAAGTCATAAAAAATCCCAAGTTTGTAATGTAAGGTACTAAAAGAATGAACACAAATATTAATTACATTGAACAAGAACTAAAACATGAACATGAATAATTCAATTTTCCTGGAGTTCATGACTTTGCAATTTGCAGGAAGAGATGATGAAGCTATATACCTCTAGGTGCTGGAGCCTCCTCTTTTCTGTGAACAGTAGAAATTTCTTCTTCTATGTGCATCTCCTCATAAACTTCATGTACTTGAAAGATATTAGTTAAATACTTGAATTAACTTAGAATATCAGAAAAAAAGACAATGTGAAAGATAAAGAACAAATACAATCAAATATTCAAGCTTATCTTAAGATACACAGGTCTATTTTATATCTACCCTCAAAATTAGGATTTATTCAAATGAGGGAAGAAAAAACATCTTGTATCCTACCCTGATCTGACCTCTGCAGCTTGCCAGAAGAAAGATGCGTGGTATGTCCTAAACTGAGCTACTTGCTTGAGTGCAAAGAGAATAGGCCCTGTCTATCTCAGCTCTGTCAATTTTCTATTCCCCCAAAACCTCCCCGCCCCCCGCCTTGGACGGATCTCAAGTAGCAGGGTCCCTTACAATTGTCTCTTTTGCACATAAAACTAATTTTCCCCTTAAGAACAACTATGGGTGATAAAATTTTTAAATTTTTTAAAATTAATTTTATACTGTTGCAGCTAACTAAAGCTGCTAACTTAACTCTAGTTTATGGTAGACAGAATGTTCTATTCTGTATAATTATTTATATATGAAAACATACTTTTTTATCCTTCAAATCCTACTCAAAATTTCTTGTACCTTTAAGGTGTGAAGGTTCTTCTTTAGGTAGAGCAGGAGGTATTTTTTCTTTGCGGACAGCTTTCTTTGGTACTTCAGGAACTTAAAAATATTGGTTTATTTTAGAAATTTGCACTAGGAAATAAGTAGTACATTTTTGTAGAACAATAAAATTTCTAATAGAACAATATGAAAATACATGGTATTAACCATGTATGAATACAACGCAACAACTTCACTTTCTGGAGTTCACTGTTTTTCTGACTCCTAGCACTTACAGGTCTGAATTTGCCCTTCTCTGAAAAGTTAGCAGTTAGTTTTGGGTTTTTTTCTTATCAAACAATCTTTAGGAATTTTGGCAATTTAAAGGGTTTTATTTTTTTTAAATTTCAAAATTACCTTTAAAACCAAGGCAAAATTCCAGTGTGATTAAGTAAATATTATGTTTCAAACATCTATAGAGTTCTTCAGCACTGGAATTTTATTACAAAACTATGTTTCTATGAAAAAATCTTTGTAGCTTTGTATTTTGTCCTCATTTAAAGTCTTAACTAAATCTTGATTTTATTAAAGCCCCTGATGTGACTGCAGAGAGTGCTTCTGCAAACAAGCTTCTGCCACAACCTTTTAGATTTTTTTTTAATGTATTGTCAGAGAAAGTATTTTGGGAAATAGAACATGAGACAAAAAGTCAAAAAAATATAAGGCTAATCCCTGGCCCTGTTATGAATTTCCTGTCTATGAAATGTCTTTGTATATGTCTAATTTTGTTTTTTAAATTTTAAATTCTTCATGTAGAATGTATCAATCTGTTTGAGCAGCTGCTAACACAAGACAAAAATAAGAACTTATAGAAAATGGTCCTTGAATTTGTTTTCCTGAATGATGAATCTTAACAATTGTAGACTATCTTAACAATTGTTCATTAGTTTAACATGTGAAGAAAGGTGCTGAAATATTTTTTGAATTCTTTGTAAATGGTTGCAAAATTATTAATGTTTTTAATCTCTGATCTCCCTATACATATGCTCTCTTCCTAAGATAAAAACAAAGAAACACACAGACAAAATTTATTCTTACAACAAGAGATCAAATGGAAGAAAACAGTGTATATAGCGCCTGGTCATGTTGTTCAAGAAAAACAAGCATGTTGGGTTCCTCACTTGATACCTCACTTTTGAACAAGGCTAGAGAAAATCCATTTGGAGGTCATGTACCTTTAGCTGGAGGAGCTTTTTCTGTAGGTACAGCAGCAGGTATTTTCTTCAGTGGGACAGTTTTCTTTGTCACTGCAGGTACTTCAAAGATAGTATATTTTTTAAAGAAAATTATAATATACAAAGTGTAAGTAACAAAGACGCAACGACAGACGCATCTAAGGAAACATTAGAATGAACACATTAAATAACGGATTAGCACATGGATGGAATGACAAAGATGAATAACTGATTTGTAGGGAACATATTGCTTTATAGATTGCTTGAACAGTTGGTGTACCTTTATCTGCTGGAGCTTCTGGTTCACTAGGAATAATAACAGGGACTTTTTCTTCTGTTGGAACTTCTTCATAAACTTCAGGCTCTTTAAAGATATTAGTTTATTTTACATTTTTAAATATTATTTACAAGACAAGATTAGAAAGACAACTTATAATGCCAAAATGCAGATGTATATATGGGCAAAGAGCTGTTTGAACATAAATTATTTAAATATCTCATTTCAGCCTGATCATTTATCTACTAATGCTAGACATGACCATTTCAAATAAGTAAAATAGAAGTTTACAGAAATTTTATTTTCTAGTTACTTCATTCTGTGTATTAGATAGAAATTTTAATTAAATTTCACATGTCCTCATCTGGCGTTAACTATCTATATCCCAGCTCAAAAATTAATTAAGTCTTACTCTAGATGTCTCTTAAACTAGTGTCTACTCTAAGATCATTTCTTTGGTCCAATGTGGCTAAAGTGCTTTCCTGGATTAGAAACTTAGTTTGTCTCTTATTTATGTTTCTTTCTCCCATTAATGGAGGAGAAAAGAACATTTAAAAAATGCTGAACTATAACTAAATTTGTGGGGAAAGAGGGTCTCAAAGACATGGATGGAAGTTTCTTTTAAATAATTTTTTAAAAATGAATTGAAAATGTCTCATATTTTACAGAACAATCTAGAGCATGAATTGGTATATTCTCTGCAATTTGCTGCTTGGTAGGTATGTCATTGATGTACCTTCATAGAAAGGAGGCTCCTCTTCTCTAGGAATAATGGTGGGTAATTTCTCTTCAAGGACAGCTCTCTTATGAAACTCAGGAACTTCAAAGATATTAGCTTTCTTTTAGTAACCTCAAAATAATTTTCAACTTTTAAAATCCCAAACAGAAATAAACCCAGAACACTAACTTCTTTTGAGGTCCCAAATACTGTGCCTTTTCAAGAATGAAATATTATACAGTTCTAGAACAGTCTCGCTGGAACAATTAATTATGTGAAGAAATTTATAGTTTCTGCTCTCAAAGAGCATAAGCCATTTGCTTTTCTCGCTGCATCGTCATGCTTTTCCTTCTCATATATTGAACAGCTTTAATGGTTTTAGCTTACTAGGTCTTGCCCTATTACTTCTCCACCAATATCATGACCAATGTATTGGCTTCAAAACCACAGTTTAAACTAAATTCACAACTATATTACAAATTTAAAGGACCGAAGGTTTACATACTGCTAGTGTAAGTAGTGGTACCTCCTCAGCATATTTTTATTCATAAATCAATGTATTTACTGTT